CGGGCCACCCTGCCCGCCCAGGGCCGGGGAGGGGCTCCCGCACCTAACAGCGAAGCGGCTCACTGAAACCTGGGGGCTCAGCACCCCGCGCCCCAACTCAAACATGAAGACAACAGCCACGCTGGCCGCTTGCTCTGCTCCTGGAGCGGAGCGGATCAAACCCCGCTGCAAGGAACACCCCCAGCGCCCCGCCAAGGCAGCCGACACCCCCGCGGGAGCTGGGGCTCTCGGGCACACACTCCCTCCCCAGAACCCTGACAGCACAGTCAGAACCACACAGCCCGCAATAGCTCAAAGGGAGCCCCGCAAACCGCAAACGGGCGGGCGCGCGCCCACTCCAAGCCCATTCTAGGCTCGTGGTTCAAGCAGTGGGTTTGGGGGTACAGCAGCCCACGGGGTGTCCCCGAGTTGGTGCTCCAAGTGGGGAGCTCCACCTGGTCTCCAAGAGAAGACCGGCTGCCCGGCGGCTGATGGGGAGCTCGCAGGGGAGAAAGGGTCAGGTCCAGCCGCCTGAAGGCCTCTGCCTTGGCCTGAGCGCGGCAAGGGGGCAGGTGCGCACCCGGGTGGACACCCCCTGCCCGCGGGCCCTCGGAGGGCCCCCCACAGTGGCAGTGTGCCCACGGCCTGCAGCTCCAGGAGGTGGGCTGAGGCTGCCGCCGGGCTGGGGGCGAGGGTGGCACCCTCGGGAGTGCAGAATCACAGGTGCCCTTCAGGTGCCAGCAGAGGAGCCAGGCTGCAGGGTGGCAGCACCCCCAGCCGTGGGGCCTCTGCCCCCTCGGCCACCAAGGCCCAGGCAGTGCTGCCGGGTACCGCGGCTGGCCGGCCGCGCAGAAACCCGCATTGCGCGAAATAAAGAGGAGCCCCCAATTCCAGAGCTGCTGAGCCGCAGGTGGGGTTGGGAGCGCTCTGGGGAGACCTTTACACCGCTGCAGGACACCCACCCTCACACCCACCCTCGCTGGGCTTCAGAGAAACCAGGCGGTCAGTGTTTATGGCTGCGGGCACCAGCCTTTCTGAGGGCCCCGGAGGGCTCGCTCGCATGGGGGTCCTTATACACAGGGGAGGCAGTTACTCGGGAGGTGAGGGGGTCCAGCTCCCCTGCACACCCCGGCTTGACTCGCACAGAGAGAGAACTCCTGAGACTTCACAGCCAGAGCCTGGGAAAACCCCCACCCTGGCCTCCCAGTGCTGTGTTTGGGGGCGCAGCCACGCTGGGGTGCTGATGGAAAGACTTTGTGTCTTCTGCCAGGCCCCCGCCTAGGGCTGTCCCCCAGAGACACTTGGCACACTCCTGGGGAGCAGTGGACTCCGCTGGAATGTCAGGCAAGAGGGGTGATGGGCTGGGGGCTGAGAACCCCTCTGAGCCTCAGCAGGGAACAAAGGCTGGGGGAGGGGCAGAAAAGGAAAAGCGGGTGGGAAGGGGGGTTCTGAAAGGGCGCACCTCCCAGCCTGGGTCTGGGGCCTGGGCCCTGAGGAGGGGGAGGGAGGCCCCAAGAAGGGGCTGCAACTTTGGGGGCACCCTGAGGCGGGAGATGACTCTGCTCTGAGCCAGTACCCACAAACGTGTCTTGAATCCCCCCTTAATTTTCCCTGCCCAGCAACGGGACCTGTGGGACCTGCGCTTCCTCCTGCCCCCTCCCTCTCCTCTGCACCCTGCCTGGCGCCCAGGGTGTCCCCTCGAGCAGCCCAGGCCCCTGCACCCGCCTCTCCCACCACCCTCCCGGTCTCCGGCCCTGGACTCTCCGGCCCTGGACTCTCTGGCCCAGGACTCTCCGGCCCTGGACTCTCCTGCCCTGGACTCTCCTGCCAGGACTCTCCTGCCCTGGACTCTCCTGCCCAGGACTCTCCTGCCCAGGACTCTCCTGCCCTGGACTCTCCTGCCCAGGACTCTCCTGCCCTGGACTCTCTGGCCCAGGACTCTCCTGCCCAGGACTCTCCTGCCCAGGACTCTCCGGCCCTGGACTCTCCTGCCCAGGACTCTTCTGCCCTGACTGTCCTGCCCTCCTTTCTTTTTTCCTCCCTGGCTGCTGTTCCCTGGCGGGCCCCTCCTGGGGTTCTCCCGGCCCTTCTGCGGCAGAGTCCGAGGACCCTGAGAGCCTCCTGTCCTGGGAGTGTGCTGCCGACTGGCCAGCGGCCTGAAGGAGGGTGGCCAGCCTGGGCAGTAGACCGCTGTCCTGCCGGTCTGTCCGACGACGCGGCGGGCAGGGGCCCCGCGACCTGGCCCTCCCTGCCCGCGCCCGCACTCACTGTCAGGGCTGAGGCCGCCTCCGTAGCCGCCGGGTGCCCGCGGG